TCTGCGGACCTTTCCTCGTGGAAGAGCAGGTCACTCCAGTCACATTCCGTTTGCGCCTACCGCTTCTTGGAAGATTCATAACGCCTTCCACGTGCAGCTTCTTAAACCCTATCAAGATCCAAATAAGCTGTACACGGGACGCCAACCTCCGCCGCCGCCTCCAGTCCTCGTGAATGATGAACTTGAGTACGAGGTTGAATCTGTGCTTGCACATCGTCGTCGTCGGCATGGCGCCCTGGAGTTTCTCGTACGCTGGAAAGGCTATGATCCTTCTGAGGACAGCTGGGTCTCTGAAGAAGACATGAGTAACGCCCAACGTTCTCTCCGCGACTATCTTGTCAAGCAGGGTGTTACATCTACCACCCAGCTTTGAGGGGGGAAAGTGTGAGAGTACGCCGACGTTCGACATATTTCTCATTTCCATATTTTTACTCCATCTTATTCTCCATATTTTCCTCTTTCATTTGCACTTTATTTCACCTCAATCGGACTACCATTCTATTTTCTAGAGCTTTTCGATTATTTCACTTATTTGGTATTTTCGGCACCGACATTTACATTATACGGCACCGACAACACCGACAGTGGTGTACAAGGCGTAATCTCGCCATAATCCGAAGTGCCAATGGGCTTGCGTGCTTATGCGCACTTGTGATTATCTATTCTAGAAGAGCGCGTTCCCGAAGGTTCGGATTATCTGTTGTTTCTATGTATTTCTGAGTATAAATACGCCTTGTACTCACCTTTAGTGCAACATTCTCGAGTGGAAATTCGATCCTGTGACAGAGAGACTAACGTCATCTTGCAAATGTCTAAAGTGTTAATTGCAGAAGGACTTGGCTACAACTTACTGAGCGTCAGCCAACTGATGGCGAAGGGGATCCATCTTGAAGCAGATAGTACCACACAAGAGTTCAAGCTTTTTTACGGTCGAGGAGGGCTCTACATCGGCAAAGCAGTCTTGAAAAATAACATCTTCGTCCTCGACTTTGTACCAGATCAAGGAACGGCCGATAGCGACGGCATCGTCAACTTCGCCTCCTGGACGCACCCACCGGACCTCGATCCCGACTTCAGCTCCGGAGGGTTCTGGTATTCACATACCATACCTGAAGCAGAAAGAACACGGGCATTAGCAACAATCCGACACGAAGCAACAACATCGACAGCAGCAGAGACAACATCGGCAACACCTACAACACTTACAACACCAATCGCGAGCTCTTCGACGGCATCACCACCCATCGACGACACTCCACCGACTCTTGCGCAACAGCTAGCTCCCACTCCACGAGAAGTTCACAGAAGCGCCAACTTCACCGCCGCCTTTTACTCCAACTCCGACCTGTATAGGCGCTCACCCGGACATCGTGCAAGTCAGTCCCTGTGGCACGAACGACTAGGACATCCAAGCAACACCACGTTAAACAACACAATCAAGGCAGCAGTGCTCGACAAGGACTCACTCCTTCTACCCGACAGCAGAGAACTCCAACGAGTCCGCGGAACATGCTTTACCTGTCCCGAAGCCGACTTACCGCATCAACCGTTCGCCTCTCACCACAATCCAAGTGCGCCAGCTTATGCACCACTCGAAAAAGTATACAGCGACATTTTTTATACTCGCGAACAAGGACAAGGCGCATATAATTACGTAATCACTTTCATCGACACCGCCACCCGTTACGTCTGGCACCTTAATCTTCCAAGTCGCGACATGGCCTTCGAAGCCTTCGTCGCCTGGCTACCTGTGGCAGAACGAGAATCGGGCGCAAAGCTGAAAAGCTTCCAATCTGACGGAGGAGGACAATATCAGTCCCAGAGGTTCAGGCAGTACCTCGCAACATGAGGCATCAAGCGACTCATCTCGCTTCCCTACGCCCATCAACAGCAAGGCGTGGCAGAACGGATGAACAAAACTCTCCAGAACACCATGCGCAAATTGTTGCGTGGCATGCGACTGCCCAATCACCAGTGGCCTGAGGCGATGGACCACGCTGTCATGCTGCACAACTTGCTTTCGTCGTCGTCACTTCCGAACAACGCATCACCGCACCTGCTGTGGACAGGAAAGTTGGGCAACACAAAAATGTTACGAGTTTTCGGGTGCATGGTACAGTATCGCCCACACACTGCAAGAGCCGGAAGATTTTCTCAACGTGCACAGTGGGGACTACACCTGGGCATCGAAAAGCATTACAACGCATGGAAGTTTTTTTACGTCCACTCGAAGGAAACAGTGGCAGCACGTGATGTCATCTTCTACGAGCGACTCACACTTCAAACGTACCTAGACAACCTGACGGGCAGCTTCCGTGGCAACCGAGCCTTTGCTTCAGCAGCAGACAAAGCTGACTGGGACGAGCAAAACGTGGACAACGCATCCGAGGAAGCAGGACCACTCCCATACTGCTCCGTGCCCATCCCGATGGATGACGAAAATCCTCGCGAAAGCGTCAACGCCGAAACTTATTTCGACTTCGTCGACACCGGTTACGTTACACCTCAACTGGTCGACACCAACATTTCCGAACGCATAGGACCAAAATTCTTACCAGACCCCGAAGCAGGAGACGAAGCAGCTTATCCAGAGGACACAAATCTTCCCCGCTACACACAGAGTGGCCTGCAGATACTGGGACTTGTCACCGCCGTCCACGGGGCGGAACCACCTAAGGAGCCTGCGACAATTCAGCAGGCTCTGGGGGGGGAACACAGGGAAAAATGGCGTGAAGCCATGGATAAAGAGCTGAAGGCGCTGCAGGAACGCAACACCTGGAAAGTCGTGCCTATCGGAGTAGCACGCAACAAAACTGTCCTCATGGGAAAATGGGCTTTCCGCGTAAAAACAAAAGCTGACGGAACAATCGACAAGTTCAAAGCACGCTGGGTCGTGCGGGGCTTCGACCAAGAACAAGGGCGAGACTTCACGGAAACATTCGCCCCAGTAAGCCGACATACCTCGCTGCGGATTCTCCTCGCAATCGCCGCCATGAACCGGAAGAAGCTTCGACAAATTGATGTCGCCAACGCCTCCCTCTACGCGCCCGTCGACGCTGAGATTTTCGTCGAACTCCCGCACGGGTCCAACGCAGGCCCCAACCAAATCTGTCAACTGGAGAAGTCACTGTACGGGATTAAGCAAGCCCCGAGACTGTGGCAGCAGCATCTTCACACCCGCCTTACTCGCATCGGTTTTCTTCAGCTACCACACGACCAAGGAATGTATCGACTGGCGAAAGGCACCGACTACATCCTACTTATTGTCTACGTCGATGATCTTCTCTACATAGGCTCCACCGACGCGGTGACAACGTGGTTTGAAGGGGAGCTACAGGGAGATCTAACTCTCACCATCGCAACCACCGTGACGCAGTACCTAGGATTGAACATCGAAGACGGCGACAATGCCATCTACCTCAGCGCCGCTAAATATACGGATACCATTGCCAAACGCTTCGCCATCACTCCAACCACTATCTCCACACCATACCGCTACATCGACGGAAATCGGAAAACCTCCGCCCTACTCAAACCTGCTGGCGTCCGCGACTACCAAAGGAAGCTAGGCTGCCTACTCTTCGCAGCCGTCACCTGCCGACCGGACCTATCCTACCCAGCCAGTCAACTGGCTACCGACCTCAAGAAGCCTGAAGCAGATCACATGCTCGAACTCGACCGAGCACTTCACTACCTCATTAGCACGCCGACGATCGAACTCACCTACCACAAAACTAGCACCGCAACACCTAAGCTAATCGGTTACGTCGACGCCGATCACGCTGGAGATCCAGACAACAGACGGTCTCGAACCGGCTACATCTACAGACTTGAACACGTCGGACCTATCTCATGGCAGTCAAACAAGCAAGAGCTAATCGCTCTCTCATCAGCAGAAGCAGAATATATCGCACTCTGCTCAGCAACCAAGGAAGGGCTATACCTTCGCGAATTACTGGAGGAAGCAAAATTGGCCCAGTTACCCAATTTTCTCTCTTCTGCGACAACCAATCGGCCATTCGCATAGCGAACAAGAACGGGTTCGCGAATCGAACGAAGCACATCGCCCTTCGGTACTTCTTCGTGAAAGACGAGATCGAAAAGGGAAGACTCGAACTATCCTACTGTCCCACATCCGAGATGGCAGCTGACTACTTGACCAAGAAACTCGGAAAACAGAAGTTCGAGTACTGCATGCTGCTGACTGGACAAGGACATGTCATCAGCAACGATCCTCCAGAAGCGAAGGGGAGTGTTGGAAACAAGTAACTCATAACGCTTCTGTCGTATCGAAGCTTCGACACAAAACGGAACTGACTACAGCGAAGAAGCACCCGAGTCAACCAAGGCAACCGTCGGAGGTTGCACGAAGGTCAAAGGTCTCCGACCTTTGACCTGACGAAATGTACAGTGCGACAGTAAGGACACATAACTGACTCGTTACAGAGCAGTTACCCGAGTCGGCAGAGGGTTCATATAAAATAAATGCACATTCGATAGAGCTAAGTAGTTCTTCGAAGGAAACGTGTGAACATTTTGTCACATTGACATTCTAGGGTACCCTTCCACTCAACATGAGTGCTCAACACTAAATATAAACTGAAGTGAAGCCTGCTTTATCACAACACACTAAAAAAAACAAACGTGGAAAAAAACGAATGGCAACACCACAGCACACACGCCTCAAATCGCAGCCAGGGCTCCTCCCTTCAGGGACTTGAGCTCAACCCGCAACACGCTTCCCTCGTGGCGACAGCTGGGACAAGAATACCACTGCAACTGCAACTTTGACTGAGACTGAGACTGAGACTCGGACTGAGAGTCAGAGTGAGACTAAGACTGAGACTCAGACTGAGAGTCAGAGTGAGACTGAGACTGAGACTCAGACTGAGTCAGATTGAGACTGAGACTGAGACTCAGACTGAGTCAGATTGAGACTAAGACTCATGCTGCGACTGTGACTGCAATCGCAACTGAGACCCGAGCCCTTCAACGTGGCCCTAGAGGGTCTCGGTAACAGCTTTGTCCCCCATGCAGTCAGATCGCCCACTGCAGCCCTGCAGGCCATTAGTCGTACCTTCTTCCTCCTCTCCACTGCTCGCCCCCTCTGCCTGTTCCCGAGGCGCCTCATAAACACATGCCTCCACTCCACCGCTCTCCCCCTCTCCTTCCTCCACTGCAATCAACTTATTCCCTCTCTCCTCTCCACTGCTCGCCCCTTCTGCTTGTTCCCTAGACGCGTCATAAGCAGATGCCGCCACTGCACCACTCTCCCCCTCTCCATGCTCGCTTACAGTTTCAGGAAGCAAGAAGCTTCTTACAAGGTGCCTCCTCCTCACTCCCACCTTGTCCTTATCCCGCTTTTTCAAATCTCCCTTCCCATTGTCCCCATTCTCCATGCCCCCCTTCTCCTTATCCCCCTTTTGCTTCTCCACATTCCCCTTATCCCCCCTTCCCACATTCCGTTTTTCGCACTCACCCCTCGCTTCCCTCCTCATTCCACGACCTTTGCCCCTCTTCCTCCCAACCACCCGCTCCACCCCCTCAACACCCTCCCCCATCCTCTCCCCTTTTTCCCCACTCGCACCAACACCACCACCCCTGCCAACACCCCCACCCGCACCATTCTCCAGGGCCAGTTTCGCCCGGTATTCTGCAAAGGACGGGAGGGTTGTAACCGAGGCTGCGACAGGCACTCTGAAGGGCAGGTCGCGGGGGTCGGAGATGGACACGAGGCGCCGCTGCATGTCAGCGGGAGGCGGCCGCTGGGTGTCACCGCAAGAGGGCTTCTGGATGTCAGAGCGAGAGGGCTTCTGGATGTCAGAGCGAGAGGGCTGACTGCATGGCTTGCCATTGTGCTGGCCTGCTGCCCGCTGTGGCGGCATGCCGTACGGTCGGAACGACGGCTGAGAGCTGCTGCTGCTGCTGGTTCTGCCGGTGTTGCTGATGTTGCTGATGCTGCTGATGTTGCTGATGTTGCTCCCCTGCCCGCGTGCCACGGTGCTGTGATTGGCCGAGCTGCGCTGGCGTGTGGGTATACCCCCATGGCTCGGGATTCTCCCACTGCTGGGCTTCACTGATGGGCCCGAATATGCAGCAGGCAATGCCGCATCCTCCGCCACCACAGCAGCTCCTTCCGCTCCTTCTCCCACACTATCGCTTGCCTTTGATGCGGCTGCTACTGCTGCTGCTGCCGCTGCCGCCGCCGATGCTTCTACTGCTATTGCAGTTCCCAGTCTAGCAGAATCGCCAGCTTCCAAAGGGTTCTCGTGGTGCCCAACCACACAAGAAGCCTGCACAGGGCCATGCTCCCGATCCTCCAGAGCCTCCTGAGCCTCCCGAGCCTCGGCAGCCTCCAGAGGCTCGGGCAGATAAGGCGTTTTTACCTCATACGCACTGTACACAAGCGGCGCCGAGAAACCGGGCGGCAGGAAATCGTCGCTGTCATCACTGTCCTCCTCCTCCCCTCCCCCCCGCCTCTGCTGCTGCTCATCTCCACCCCAAAACCCACCCTGCGTCTGCCCCAGCTGCCCAGAGAAAAACCCTCCCCACATCCCGCCCTTCCTACCCCACCCCCTCCCTCCGCCCGCCACAGCTACTGCAGCCTCCGCCACCTCCCTCTTGCCTCCCCAACTCCCTGTCCCCCATCCTCCCCCACTCCCACTCCCCTTCCCCCACCCTCCCCCACTCCCACTCCCCTTCCCCCACCCTCCCCCACTCCCACTCCCCTTCCCCCACCCTCCCACACCCCCATTACCCTGTTCTCCCACCTCCATCCCCCCCTCGACCCCCTCCCTCCGCTCCCCCTCGCTTCGCCCTACTCCCAAATGTTCATGGTGCCCTGAAGCGAGCTCACCACACGAGTTGGAGCGGCGAAGGGAGCGCTGCAGAGAGGGCGTGTGCGTCCAGATATAAGCCATGGTCTCCCCTGCTAGGGCTATCTCTGTGCCAGCTCGCTCAAGCTTTGACACTCGCTCCAATGCCCGCCGCCTCGCACTGTATGCCGATCTCAGCAGCGCCCGGGGTCGTAACGGCGCACAGGACCCCTGAGAACGGGGCTCCTGAGAATCAGACCCCTGGGGACCGGACCTCTCACACCCCTCAGACTCTCGAGGCCCTTCACAGCTTTCACAGCCCTCAGTCCGCTCACACCCTTCACGCCCCTTACGCCCCTCACCCTCCCCGCACCTGTGACAACCCACAGAGCCGTCAGAGGCCCCAGAACACTGACAACGTTCCACAGCTGAACCTGACCCAGCCGCGTGGCGAGCTGTGATAGGCCCGGACGAAGCTACCTGCTCCGCTGCGCCCTCCCCTGTTGCCAAACCAAACGCCGAAACAGAGCTGGAGGCTCGGCGGTGGGCCTTGCTGAAGCTGCCAGGCTTCCTGCTCCGAACCTTGAAGCGGCTCTTAGCGTTGCTACTCACAATCACATTGCTGCTTTCTACAGCATTGCTGCTTACACTGACCTTGCTTCCTAGAGCTTGTGAGGGTTTCAAGGGCTCATTCCCTGCAACCCCTGTGCTCTCTGCACTCCCTGTATCCAATTCCTCTGCATCCCCTGCTTTGCCCGCCTTCTCTTGTGCTGAAACGGGCTCATTTACGGTCAGCGACGAACCAAGGCTCCCCTCTCTGCTCGCCTCTCTGCTCGCCTCTCTGCTCGCCTCTCTGCTCCCCAAGTCTCCGACAGCAGCGACGGCAGGGGCAGAGTGAGGGACTGTTACAGCAGCAGCAACAGATGGAGCAGCATTAGCGGCTGCAGCTGGTTCTGCTGTAGCATCGTAACCTGCCACGCCAGTGGTCGCCGCCGTTTTTTTAGGCGCCTCAAAACCTGCCGCGCCAGTGGTCGCCGCAGCAGCAGCAGCAGCAGTAGCAGTAGCAGTAGCAGTAGCAGTAGCAGTAGAAGTAGCAGTAGCAGTAGCAGTAGCAGTAGCAGGAACAATATTTGCATCGGGTGTATCAGAGGGGAAGAAAGCATCGCAGGCAGTGAGCGGGACGAGATCAAGCAGAGAAGCTGCGGTGAGCGAGTCGTGCCTCAGAATGTATGATGCTGTTGCCACGGCCGCTGCTGCTGCCGCTGCTGACGTGATGGCGACAGAGGAGGAGGAGGAGGAGGAGGAGGAGGAGGAGGAGGAGGAGGAGGAGGAGGAGGAGGAGGAGGAGGAGGAGGAGGAGGAGGGGGAGGAGGAGGAGGAGGAGGGGGAGGAGGAGGAGGAGGAGGAGGAGGAGGAGGAGGAGGAGGAGGAGGAGGAGGAGGAGGAGGAGGGTACAGCAGGAGCTGGTAAAGAGGGTAAACTAAAAACACGGGGTACTTTCCCATCCACATCCCTAACTGCTTCCTCTGCTTCTCCTGTTGCTTCTCCGGCTGCTGCTCCTGCTTCTTTTGCCTTGAAGGCAGATGCCTTGGGGCAAGCCCTAGATGTAGAGCCCACGCTCATGGTCCCCGTGCTGCCAAAGCTGCTGCTGCTGGTACAAGCTCCAGGGGACGTTTGAGCATTCCTAAAGACCGATGCCTTGGGGCAAGACCCAGGCGTGGAGCCCACGCTGATGGTCCCCGTGCTGCTGAAGCTGATGCTGCTGCTGCTGTCGCCGCCGCCATTGCTACTCACATGCAACCGCCTCCTCCTTGCTGACAACCTCACGCCCCCACCCCAACTACTGCTGCTGCTACTGCTGCCAACACTGCTACTGTTGCCACTGCCGCCGCCGCTGCGGCTGCTGCTGCTGCTGCTGCTGGTGTTGGTGCTGCTGCTGCTGCTGGTGCTGCTGCAAGTGCTAGTCCCGCCACCACCCCTCTTCAAGCACCCTGCGTCACTCCCCGAGCCACCAGCAAAGCAACTCTCAGTGCGCCGGTTCCGCCCCCATCTCCCCCACACTGCTCCGCGCGCTTCCCCCGCGCTCACTCCCCCCCTGCCCGCCTGCGCGGTCCCCCCTTCCCCCTCCGCCTCCAGCGCATCCCGACTTTTGAGGCGGCTCAAACGGCCGTCGCCCCCTCCCTGCCTACGACCCTTCCCGTTCCCCCCTTCCCCGCCCTCCGCCTCTAGATCTTCCCCCAGCCCGTCCCGACTTTTGAGGCCACTCAAACGGCCGTCGCGGCCGAAACCAGTGTGGAAACGATTATTCTCGCCGCCTTGGGGAGTGTGGGGCGTTGACTGCGACGGTCTTCTAACGGATGGTGACAATAACGAAGACGACGGTGGGCCAATCCGGGCCGGGCAACTCTCAATTCCCCCTTCCGCGAACACATCCGCCCTCCCCTCATCCGCCTTCCCCCCATCCGCGGATTCATCCGCTCCGCCTTCCCCCCTCCGGCCCTGCTGCCCCTCCCCTCTCTCTATCCGAGACTCCTCAGTCCACAGGGTTGCCTCCTCCTGCTCTATTGTTTTCGGGCTGCCCGAGATTTCTGCCCGAAGCAGCGGTAGGGAAGTCAGGCGCAGGTTCAGCTGGGGGAGGCTCACCCGCCCTCTGAAACGCGCCCGCGGTTTACACTCTAGGCCGCCATTTTCCGTCTCGCTAACCTCCGCACCCGCTTCCTTCGCTTCCTTTGCTGCCTTCGCGTCCCCCTCCTCCCAGCCGCTGCTCCGCGCACCCCCTTCCGCCGCCTCTTCTCCGCTCTCGCCTGCGCATTTCCCCCTCGCCTCCGCGAGCCCAGTCCTCGTCCCCCCATCGGCCTCCCCGTCGCTTCTGAGCGCATTCCCTTCCCATCCACCGCTCTCCGCAACTCCGGAATCCGCGGGCGCATCTTCGTTGCTGACAGCCGGGGATTCGCTGCCCACAGAGAGGGTAATTTCCGCGTTTACCATTACGGAGTCGGGCGAATCAATCAGATCAGCAGCATCCGCGACTGTCGTTCTTGCATCGCATTTCGCCGTGGTCCCCACTTCACCCTGGAAAGTCTCCTGAACCTGGTCGGGTACAACAGAGATCTCCAGCGTGCCGGGAGCCTCGACTGCGCGACACTGTTCATCCTTCCTCTGCAGGTTGTCCTTCAGGTGGTTCGTCAGGTTGTCTTCCACACGAGCCAATCGGAACCCTTCAATGTATTCACCACCCCAGGGCGCCGCGGCTGCTCTGGCAGGGCCGTCAAAAGATGACGGCTGTTCCTTCGTTACCGTCAAAATAGACGGCTTGTAAGCATCATCGTTGCCGGTTGGCCCGTGCCCTCCGCAGCTCTGCTGCCGGCGATGATTATCAGCTGCTTTGGACTGACGGGTTACCACCTGGGCTGGTTCGCCGGCTCCTTCGTTCGCCACCACGAAATGTGTGGTCTGCGAAAGCTCTAGCGACGGACGGGGAGTGAACGAAATCACGTGGCCGTTTTCGCCAAGGCGGGAGAGTTCGAAGCCCGGCTGGAGGGAGTGGGACTTGAGCAAGCACAGCGCCGGCTCCATCTCGCGTCGACGCGCTCCCCGTTCCTTGCGGAAACTTGATATCATGTTCTTAAAACGGGAGGATTCGCGCTCCGATGATATCGCCATCATTGGTCTGACGGTTGCAGCCTCTTGAAAGGTCTCAGAAGAGGAGTGATGTTTGACAGGAAGAACGACTTTTAGACGTCTGGATCGACGGTTGGAGTCTTTTGAGGCGCCTGGCTTGACGGTTGGAGTCTTTTGAGACGTCTGGCCTGACAGTTGGAGCTTGATACAGAATGTCGAGGAAACGAAAATGTAATAGCGATCGCGTCGTCGGAATAAGTTCGTTGATTGTCTAAGCGACTTTTAGTCGACACAAGAGAATCAGGCTGGTTCGTCACGGAGCCAGTGTCTTGAGTCTACGGAACGGCACTGCCTGTAATCTGGGCTAGAACGCCCCCCTGAATCCACGCACGACGAACGCGCATGTCGAACGACTAAGTTCGATAATCCCCAAACGGCTCTCTTGAGGCACTTACTTGAGTCGTTCGTAGGCCGGCAGCGCGTGCGAACTATGACGCCTACCCTGGCAGAGGCCGATGGGGTGGAGGATACGTTAGAAGCACGTATGGCTGATGCGACGAGACGCCATGGAGATGGCGATTTCGGGACGGTGCTCCCCTTGGAGGTGGTTCTCTTGGGGATCCGTGCGAAGTGGGCGGTGGAACACCCTCCCCAACCTGGAGCGGACGGTTTGTCTGCCTCTCCTCGACCGGTGTGGAACGACGGCGGCGGCGACGTTGAGATCGACAACGGTGAACCAGTCGGTGGCAGCGTAGGGAAGGGGGAAGATAGGAGTGATCACGTCCGTCGACGGTGGCATCGGCGGGAATCAAGCGCGAGTGCAGCGGTCGACGGCTGCCGCAGGCAGCTCACGTGTAGATGTCAACGGTCGATGCCATTCACCTTTGCGAAGCAATGGGAGGCCAACGTCGTCGACGCATGTGACGGCGGGCGGGATCACTCCGGCGTACGGCTACTTTCAATTCTCGCCGGACAAGATCGCCGTGCCAGTGCCGCTGCAAGGTCGACGAGACCTCATCACGTGGAAGGAGGCTATTGAGCCTCAGCTGGAGATTGCCGGGCTGAAGGGTTTCGCCGACGGCACCGTGCCGATTCCGCACGAGGATGAGGTCGAGCTGCGCGGGGAGTTTCGTCCCGCTCACCTACTCACTTTCATGGTCATCTTGAGGTGTTGCTCACCGATAGTGCAGATTGCGCTGAAGCCATGTCGACTTCGACTGGACGCAGGCCACCAGGCGTGGCAGTTCATCATGTCTACCTACCAGGCGACGGACGACTTGTACATCGGCCAGCTGGAGGAGCAGCTGACACACCTCCGGATGGGCGAGGAGGAGTCAGCGATGGACTACTGTAATCATGCTCGACGACTCCTGGCCGAGATGTGGATGGAGGGCGTCGAATACGCTACGGCGTCGTACATCACGCACGTCGTCTAGGGACTGCCAAACAGCTACAACCTCATGAAGAGGCTGATGGTGGTACCCGGCACGCGCGAGTCGGTCCACGATGACTCCCTCACCAGCTACATCATCCGAGATGAGGCGATGCAGGAGGCAGACCGGCACTCGGATTTCCTTCCGTAGGCGAGCTATGCCGCCTAGACGAAGCAGGATCGTCAGCAGGGGCAGCGCGGAAAGTCTGGCGGAGGTGGTAGCGGAGGTGGGAGGCCGTCGAAGGACGCCGAACGGACGAAATTACCTCATGAAAGTGGTCGTGGCAGCGGTGGTCGACGGCGCGAGTGCTGGGTCTGCGGAAGCGCCGACCACCTCTCCTATGACTGCCCCGACCGAGAGGAGTCTGACGATGATGACCAAAAGGGAGGCCGCGGGAGGTCGGCCAACGGTCGTCGAAGTCGGGACGAAAATCCGCACAAGGAGAAGCAGGCGTCGAAGAAGACGTCGTCAACGAAGGACGTCGACTCCTCCGGCGGCAAGGGTCGAGGCGATGGAGAGGCTTCGTGCTCGATGGTTGGCGTGGTGGAGCTGACGGTTTTTCTGGCGCCGGAGGCTGATGAGGACTTCCAGGTGGTGGCGGCAGCTGTACAGGCAAACCCGATGGCGGTGCTGCTCGACAGCGGTTGCTCCCACCACCAGATGGGGACGAAGGCAGTCTTCGTCGACATGTCGCCAAGTGGCAGTGTGAAGCATGTGCGCGGATTCTATGGGGCTTTGCAGCCCATCGAGGGTCGCGAAACCGTCGCTCTGCAAGTGGAGGCCGGGAAGCAAATCCTCATCCCTGACGTGCTCTACGTCTTAGGCGTGCAGGCGAACTTGCTGTCGGTGGGCCAGCTGAATGACATGGGCGTGAAGCTGCAAGGGGGCAGCGATGAGATGCTGCTCATCGCCGCGACCAGGGAGGTGCTCAGTCGAGCACGCTGCACTGGCCGCGTCCTCTGCACCGACCTTCGGCCCTGCTCGACGAAGCTGTCGTCGACGCTGACCGAGGTGGTCGCCCTGCGGACGATCGCATCGGCGACAAAGTCGACGCCGGACAGGTGGTACGCAAGGCTTGCGCACGTTGGCGTTGACACCATCAAGAGCTCTGCGAAGCACGAGGTCGCCACTGGCTTGGACATCCAGCCGTCAACGGGGACCGACTTACCGTGCGTCTCCTGCGTAGGCGGGAAACTTGCGCGACACACCTTTCCCGACAAGGGTTATGACGCGGAGGAAGCTCTGGCCGTCGTGCACATCGACCTATGCGGACCGTTCCGGGAGGCCGCCAAGGATGGCAGCTACTACATCCTTCTTCTGAAGGACCGAAAGACGCACTACGTGTGGGTTAGGCTGGTCGCCAAGAAAAGCGACGTCCTGCAAGTGTTCGAGCAGTGGCTGCTGGTCGTGGAGAGGCAAACTAAGAAGTCGGTGATGATAGTCTGCTCCGACCGCGGAGGCGAGTTCCTGGGGAAGGCCTTCACCAGCTTCGTCAACGGCAAAGGCATCGTCTACGACCTGACCTGCACGTACACTCCGCAGCAGAATGACATGGCGGAGAGGGAGATGCGCACGGTCGTCGAGGCCGTGCAGACGATGCTGCTGCACATGGGGATGCAGCACCACTGCTGGCACCTCGCCCTGCGGCAGGCCGTCTGGGTGCGCAACTGCTTGGAGCAGTCGACGCTGCCGCCGGGGACGACGCCGCATCAGCTGATGACAGGCAAGAAACCCGACCTCACGCTGGCGAGGATGTGGGGCTGCATGGTCCCCTAGCAGCAGTGCGGTGGGAAGCTGGCGCCGAAGGCTCGTTGGGGGCTACACCTGGGTGTGTTGCCAGAGAGCAAGGGATGGGAAGTGCTTGACCTGACAGACAACAAGCTGGTCACGACGGCCGAGGCCATCTTCTACGAGATGATGTCCCTGGAGGTGTGGAAGGTGATGCATGGGCCGGCATCGGCACGGGCGCAGACCCACTCACCGACGGACTCCTCGACGGCAACGTTCCCACTGCTCGCTGAGGTCGACGAGTCTGCTGACGAGGACGTCCAAGATGTCCATCCTTCTCCTCCACCTCATGTTCCTGCTGCACCACCTCTTGTTGCCGACTTGCCTGAGTCGACACCTTCGTCGGCCACCGGCAATGAGGGGAGCCTACGGATGTCACATGTGGTG